GGTCATGTGTCAGCTGCACAAACACAAACAGCATCTTGTTAATTGATTGTAGTTTGCTGATACCACCTACACTGTTTCACTTATTCTGAAACAGTATAGAATCCAAATGGAATTTTAGCTTATTTTTATAAACAAATAAATACTAGTGAAAAATTATAAATAAATAGTATTTATTAATAATAGTAAATCTAAACTCACATTGAAAAAAATCTAGTAGTCTTAAATATGCCACATTGCTTTTGTTGTTCTACAGTGATGCCTCGCAAGACGAAAATAATTCGTTCCACAAGTCGTTTCGTATTGCAAAAATTTCATCTTGTGAAGCACGGTTTCCCATAGGAATGCATTGAAATTTAATTCATGTGTTCCTATTCATCTTGTGAAGCACGGCCATAGAAAAAATTGTCTTGCGAGTCACCAAAAAAATCACAAAACACTTTCGTCTTGCGAGTTTTTCATTCGTCTTGTAAGGCATCACTGTATTTTGGTTATACATCTCCACTGCTTCCACTATAATGCTTCTGGAGTCTTTTTCTTTGCTTGCTTGTCTGTTGTTTTTCAGTGCCCCTTTTACAGAGCTGTGTTTTTTCTCATACCCATTTTTAAGGCAGACACTATAATTACATTTGTTGTCTTGCCCCTTTTCCTATTTTTTCTGAGTTGCATTCTAATTATTAATAGTACAGTACTAAGTTTGCACAGAAGCTGCACAAAGTAGGAGCCGGGCCCTCTGGGGCAAACTCTAAAACAGGAGTAAGAACTGCATGTTCTCTGTGACTCTTGGTTTTCCAGCCACAGAGGGTCTAATTGGAATGGGGGAGGGGAGGGAGACTTGTGAAGGCAGAAGCCTCCAGGGGGCACAATTCGCCCTTAAAAAGAGGGATTCTACCTCTTTTTAAACAAAAAAATTAAGATGGTTCTGACTGGAAGTAACCGTCTGTTAATTTCCTGGGTTTTCTGGGAGGGATGATATAAGTCAGTTGAAAATACCTTGTAGACTAAAATTACTCACCTCAGAAGACTGAATATAATGGTGCCCAGACAGGTAGGCAGAGTGAAGAAATTCCACAAAGAGCGTAATACTGAAAATCTTCAATTAAAAAAGAAAAAGAACATTTAGGAATTTAAATAATTCTGTGATATAGTTTTTACCAGAATTTAGGTTTCTCAAGAAACAACATTTGCACTTACTTTCAATTTAAAATTAGTTTTTGTTTTAGATGCTGTTCCTGTTTTTAATTTTTAAATTGGCAGATTTTATTTTCTGTTAAATGGGTCTTATAAAGGGGAGGGAAGCAGGAGGGTTTCCCAAAAATGAAAAACGAGGTTCTGATAACGAGGGAACTGCAGTTGCAAGTGGATTACTAGTGCTTCTTGCTTGGCAAATATTTGGAAAAATCCCTCTGGGACACAAGTTTGTCTGGATTTGCAAATAGCAGACACACCCTTTATGGTTAAAATGTCTACAAAATGGGAAGCAGCCATTTTTGCCCTTCCAACTGTGGTTATGCTGCAGTTCTTCCTTGCTCCCAAAAAGAGGTACATGATGAGCACATTGGAAACGAGAAAGAGCTATTAATAGCAGCCCTGATGCTGTGGCTGTATTTGTCATTTGGCATCAGCTGCCAAGGATGAGTTGTTATCTTAGCAGCAGCTAAGTTTGTTTTGTTTTGCTTTTTTAAAAAATCCATGAACTGGAACCTGCCTTGGTTGTATAAACATCTTTGTTATCTCCCACTTTGTGGTCTCTTAACATCATGTGCATTTCTAAAAAGTGATAATAACCATTTGCTTGTAGGCTGGAGGCTGGGCTTTGTGAAATCAGGCACATACAAATACCTTTCTTCTCCATGGAGGTAGAAATCCTGTAGTAGTATATTGAGTAACTCAACATTGCTGCACCTTTCGATACCTCCAGATCCACTGCCTGAGGTGACCACCTTACTCTGCATAATGATATAGCTGTTCTTGAAACTGTTATAGGGAGTTTATAAAGTCTGCAAACAAGAGATGGACATTGAGAGATGCTGAATAGCCTTTTAAGGTCTTCCTCTGGCCATGATGGATTTATTTTCAGATCTTGGCAAGGACAGTGCAACCTAGTGGGCAGAGAGGCAGAAAAAGAGTCACTCATGCAACTGAAGCTCCTACTATGTCTGATAGAAACATAAACAGCATTGTATTTACAGGAGTGGGATACAAATTAAGGATTCACACATCATCCTTAGGTAACAGGTGAGCTGATACTCTGTGGCACAGGCCAGCAGCACTAATAGCTACCTAGGATTTCTGGCAGGTAACAGCGACAATGTTCCATTTCAAATTTCCCACAGTGCCTTGGGTTGCCTATCTTAATGCCATTCCGGGGCATTATGGGAAATTGAAAATGGCAGTCACTGGACTGCAACAGAAGAAGCAAAAGCAAAGCAAAGTGTGCTGCTTATATACCGCCCCATAGCGCTTCAAGCACTCTCTGGGCAGTTTACAAGTTAATTATGCAGGCTACACATCCCCCCCCCCCAGCGAGCTGGGTGCTCATTTTACTGACCTTGGAAGGATAGAAGGCTGAGTCAACCTTGAGCCGCTACCTGGGATTGAACCCCAGGTCGTGAGCACAGTTTTAACTGTAGTACAGTAGTTTAACCACTGTGCCACGAGGCTCTTCAAGAAATACTCTTGTGAGGCCTAGAGGGTCATTAGCCCTCTTTTTCAGGAAGCCAATCCTCTCTTGAAAGACTCTCAGAACTCAGTCCTCTATTTGATGACCTACATTATTGTTTGAAGGGGTGTCCTGTTGAAATCAGATTTCAAGATAACAAAATACAGTATATAAAGGACCAAGGGGGTGCCTGGGATCTACCCACAAGCCATGAGCATCTGGACAGCCCCTGAGCAGAGAAGTTTACAGGTCTCAGCACCACATTCTGTATTTCTCTTGAAATAAAAAAAAATTTTTTTTGGACTTATATACCACCCCATAGCGCTACAAGCACTCTCCGGGCGGTTTACAATTTAATTATACAGGCTACACATTGCCCCCCCCCCAGCAAGCTGGGTACTCATTTTACCAACCTCGGAAGGATAGAAGGCTGAGTCAACCTTGAGCCGGCTACCTGGGATTTGAACCCCAGGTCGTGAGCACAGTTTTATTATAATTTTGCATCTGTCCATATGAATTGGCACATGTTCTGAGTATTTGTTTCTCAAAACTGTATCCTCTTTGGTGATGTATAAACGGCCATTCTAGCATGGCTAGAGTCACCAGAAAGAGGGAGGGAGGGGTGAGCATTGAGAGGGGGCTTACAGGAAGGTCCCTTGCTATGGGCCCACTCAAAACTAGAACAGATTTAAGAAGTTACTTCTGGACTACGGTACCCAAACATCATGCTGGTAGAGGGATTATGGGAGGTTTTTTTTCCAGAAAGTAACTTGTCCAAGCTTTGAACAGATGTACCTTTGTTCTGATCCAGCAGGTGAGGTCTTATGTTCCAGAGAAGATGGAAGAAAAAACTCTGGATTATTGGAAAGCACCTTGCTTGGTGGAACAGTTGTGACCACAATCTTGGCTTCCTTTTCCTGATCTTATCTATTGTTGATCTTTTTAGATGGGCGAAGCAAACAGCTCATGCCCGGGCACAGATCCTGTACTACCTAGCTGAAAATCTGGAACTCCGTCGAGCTGGGTTTGCGTCACAGCTGCAGGAATTGACAGGTGCACAGAAAGAAGCGGCTCTGCAGGAGGTGGACCTCAGTGTGCAGCGTCTTTTCTACTGGGCAGCGTACTCTGATAAATATGGTGGAGCAGTGCAGGTCAGAACTAACAGGGCTCTGCTACTTGGGTACACATGGTAGAGTTCTCCATCCTGTAATTTTTGTCAGAGACTGAATGCAAGCCTGGAAGGGTTTGGGGAGGGACTATAGGTTGGGGCAGAGCAGAACCTTTGCATGTGGAAGTATAGGCAAAACAAGGAAGCTATCATATCCTGTCAGACTGTTGATCCATCTAGCCCAGTATTGGCTGCCAGGAGGACTCAAGCAGGATAGTTTCCCTGTCTTACCTGGATATCTCTAGTACCTTCTGGTGGTCTCCCATCCATGATCGTCCTAGGCCTGGCCCTGCTTAGGTTCATGAAAATCAGAAGAGAATGGGATCTCTTTGTGGTGGACTCTGGTTCCTCGGCATCTCCAGATAAAGAGAGGAGGAGATGGGCAAAACTTTAGCCAGAGATGCTGGAAAGGTATTTCATAGAATCATGGAAGAATGAAATTGGAAGAGTCCTATAAGGCCATTGACTCCAACCCTCTGCTGAATGCAGGAATACCAATCAACGGATGTCTGCTAGGTAGTTGTCTAAATTTCTCTTGAATGCCTCTGGTGTTGGGGTACTGGAGTAGGAGACAGTAAGAGCTGTAAAAAAGCAGTTTTCCCAAATTCCAGCACTGGACTACATGGACACTCTGAATGTACGATAGTTGCCTATTGCAGCTTGGAAAAGTTACATTTTGGACTGCGATTCCCCGAATCCTCCAGCCACTGGCTATGCTGGCTGGGAGTCTCTAGGACCAGCTTTCAACAATTGTGACTCTCCCAAGCTGTTATTTGTACCAGTGACACAACCCGCAGTGTAGGTATTTCTTTGGAAAGTAAAACTAATTTGAAAGGACATTTTTTGCCATCTTTTGACTTGACCTGTAATATAGTCTTGTGTCTTAATTAGCACAGCAGAGGGTCCGCTTTTAGAGGAGGTTGGTTTGGGGTCCAGAGAAAGTAAGAAGGTTCAGCAAGTAGATACAGGGTTCAGTAGAGCTTGCTTTCGAGGGTGGGTCTGCACGGTTTCAGAGGCTGCTCATTCATGCCTCCTGGTTGGCTGTTGTTCTTTGCTACAGGAAACATCCTTGTATGGTGCCTCCCTCCTCTTCAGAGAACCTCTTGGCGTAGTGGGAATTGCCTGCCCTGATGAACACCCTCTCCTTGCTTTTGTCAGCCTGTTGGCTCCAGCTGTTAGCCGGGGCAACTGTGTGGTGATGGTGCCCAGCGAGCGGTACCCGGTGCTTGCTCTGGATCTTTACCAGGTATCATTTATTTTGTTGATGGTGCAGTGTCTTTAGTTCTCCAGATGTTTTGACTGCCACTGCTAGGAATGCCGTTCATAGCAGCCAGGGGGCAAGGGAAGATCCTGATCCCCAACAACAACCTTCTTGCCCCCAACTTCTCTTTCTCCCCTTTCATCCTCCTCAACTTATGTTATCCTAGTGCTACAGGGTTAGTGCCTGAATCAGGAGTGGTGAAAGAGGGGAATCTGGCTTGCCTTCCTCTGCAGCCAGCCACAATGAAGCAGCTGCTGCAAAGAAGAGGATTGGCCTGCAAGGAAGAGCTTTTCCTGGAAACCAAAGTTATTATAGTTCTGACAGTCACTTGGGATGAAACAGAATCTGACTGAGCTCATAGCTGGCCTTGAAACAAAGCCAGGTGGGCATGTGCTACTTTGCAGATGTGGCTGGACTGCAGTTCACAGCAGCTGGAGTCAGCATGGCGGATTAGGAGGAATCGTGGGAATTCTAGTTACGCAACATCTGGAGGACCAAATTTCACCCATTCTTGGTTGAAGAAAGCTAATGAAGAGGGTTCTCCAGCTATAATCCTATAAATCAGTGATTCCCAACCTTGGGTAACCCAGGTGTTCTTAGACTACAATCCCAAAGCCTTCACCACCAGCTATTCTGGCTAGAGTTTCTGAGAGTTGCAATACAAGAGTACCTGAAAACACGGCTATAAATCATTTTGGATTTAATTCAATTTTATTTTTCTTAAAAGCGAAGTGCCAGAGACAGATTGTGGGAGTAGGGCTGCAGCCTTTCCCAATTCAGATGGATTGCATGTGGACGCCACATGTTATGGGACTGCCCTTCTGGCCACCTCTAGCCAGCACAGTCAATGATGAGGAATTTGGGGGAGTTATAGTCCAACATCTTGGACCTTTCCTGTCCGTGTTATAAATCAAGATACTGAGAAAAATGTCCTGTTTATTGAGCCCAATGAGGCTCAATAGCTTCCTTTTCATTTCCTGCTTTCCTTTTCTCTCAGCTGTCGGTGGCAACTAAGCCAAAGGGGATTAAAGTGTTTCTTGTCTGCATTGGCCCCAGGAATTTTGCATGCTTTGTGGCTTCTGTGGTGCACATGAAAAATGCAAATTTCCTCCCTCGTGGGAAAACCCAGACTCCGTGTTTAGTCAGTTGCATAACAGAATGTGGTTGTATATACACACTTCACCCTGTGGCGAGGTTAATCAGGTTTTCTAATCTTAGTTTTATGGATATATTCCATGCCTGTACAAGTGTAAGGAATGAGTTAAAGCGGATTTCTAAGTAAGAAGTGTATAGACATCCACACGCCTCATTTAAGGGAAAGACAAACAAATTTCCAAATTTCTTCTTTGTATCTCATTAATTTTATAGATTTTTGTTGATACTTTAAGGATGAGGAACAGATGTGGGGAAATTTTGGAAGGGGAAAACCTTCCTTTTCTCCCTAGTCACTAGAATAAGCATAACTGTTTAAAATAGAGAATGTCAGCTCCCAATTTTTCTTTCTTTTTGCCTGCCTGCTTGACTGATTGACTGACTGACTGACTGACTTACTTATTCCTCACCCATCTAGTGGCACTTACTCTTGGTGGCTGCAAAAAGTAACATAAATGTAGGCAAAAATTAAAATAATGAACAAAAAAAGCAAGAATCCACCTTAAAATCCCCCTCATCACCATCATCTTCATGTTCCATTACTATTTAAGCTGTTTCTGTGTTCTGTCTTTCTCTTCCTTGGTTCTGCATGCGCCATAAAGGTACATGTGTGTGTTGGTTGGTTTGTAATTATAGGTCAGCGACCAGGGTTCTTTGTGCCTTAAACGTACTTTTTATTATACTGCCCACTGACTGTACCTGTGTATTAAGGTTTGTCATTTGATCTGAAGAAAGGTCAATCAAATCATCATGGCAGTGTCTCTTGAAGGAACATGACAGAAGTTTATAATGTCAAAACTTGGGCTGAAACTGTTGGGCAGTATGTTGTTGCTCCATTGTGGAACTGATCTGGGAAGTGGACATGCTGTCAGCTACTGGCTTAAAAGAGGGTTAAACACATTCATGGCTGATAGAAAGTGAGGAGGAATTAAAGAACCTCTTAATGAAGGTGAAAGAGGAGAGCGCAAAAAATGGCCTGAAACTCATCATCAAAAAAACTAAGATATTGGCCACTGGTCTCATCACCTCCTGGCAAATAGAAGGGGAAGATATGGAGGCAGTGACAGATTTCACTTTCTTGGGCTCCATGATCACTGCAGATGGTGACAGCAGCCACGAAATTAAAAGACGCCTGCTTCTTGGGAGGAAAGCGATGACAAACCTTGACAGCAATTTAAAAAGCAGAGACATCACCACCTTGCTGACAACAGTCTGCATAGTCAAAGCTATGGTTTTTCCAGTAGCGATGTATGGAAGTGAGAGCTGGACCATAAAGAGGGCTGACCACCAAAGAATTCATGCTTTTGAATTCTGGTGCTGGAGGAGACTCCTGAGAGTCCCCTGGACTGCAAAGAGAACAAACCGATCCATTCTAAAGGAAATCTGAGAGTTCACTGGAAGGAGAGATCCTGAAGCTGAGGCTCCAATACTTTGGCCATCTCATGAGAAGAGAAGACTCCCTGGAAAAGACCCTGATGTTGGGGAAGTGTGAAGGCAAGAGAAGGGGACGACAGAGGACGAGATGGTTGGAAAGTATCATTGAAGCTATCAACAAATTTAATCAAACTCCGGGAAGCAGTGGAAGACAAGAGGGCCTGGCATGCTCTGGTCCATGGGGTCATGAAGAGTCAGACATGACGTAACAACTAAACAACAACAACATGTCTGATAGATCTATGCAGAGCTTGGAAACATTATAGCTTTCAGCCTTCCTAGTAGGGGATTCTAGGAAATATAGTTACAAAAAGTAACTCTGTCAGGGTTCTGAGTATATCAGCAGCTGCTCCTAATGAAGGCTGTGCGGAACCCCAAAGTTTAGAGACAGTGGGCCACAGATATACCACTTCATGGAAAGCAACAGCAAGGATGGATCAGGCCCTTGTTGTCAAACTGTCTGCTGTGAGAAAGCAAGATGCTGGGCTAGGCAAAAATATGTACTTTGGCTTGGATTCCTGCATTGAGCAGGGGGTTGGACTAGATGCCCTTATAGGCCCCCTCTAACTCCCTTATTCTATCATTCTGTGACTTTTCACATGATCCAGTAGGTCTGTTCAAGGGTTGGCCCAACAAGAAATAGAAAAGAGTTTTGTGTAAACAGCTCACAGGGCTTCCAGTGAAGGCAAGATATGAACTCAAATATAGCAAACCTTAAATTTTTCTGGGTACAATCAAAATGAGCTGGGTCCGTGTCCACAACAAACTCAGACAGATTAACATTAACTTTTTCAGTCTGCCATGTTGGCCAGCATTATAGAAGGGCAACCTGCCAAGTCTATCCAGTTTACAAAACAAAGGCTTCCAGCAAGCACTAAAAGTTACACCACTATCTCCGTTGATGAGTCTGAGTTGACTATTTTAACTATAAACATGAATTGACACAACTGGAAATCTGTGAGCTATTTACAGAAAGTGTGAAAGATTGAGATCTTTAGAAAAGAGTTTTATTTTTATTTTTTTGTCCACAACTCTCAGAATTTCATAGCCAGTACGTTGGCTGTGGTATCCTGCTACCTGTAGTCCAAAACACACACATAGCCCTAACCCCACATGTTCCCCATCTTTATGCCCTACAGAAGGCCAGAAGGAGGGTAGCTCCCTCAAGTAGCTGATTTTGTGTGGCATGAAATGGCCCGTTTGTTAGTTGTTTAAAGTGTTGTCTTTGCTCTTCTGAGGGATGTGGAGAAGTGATTGTTGGATTTTCTGCCTCATGTGGCAAAATAATTTGCCTGGCTTTGGATACTATGCCCCTTAACCCAAGTGGGCAAGGGATGCCATTAACTGCCATGCTTCAAACAGCAAAATGTTATCTGTGGGCTTGTGGATTATCCTGAAATGACTTTTGATAGTCCTGGCAAGTTTATTATCTGAGATGACTCTGATTTTTTTTTTCATATTTTCCATCTATGACTTTATCTTCAAGTGCTTGTAAAATACTGATGTTATCACAAAGATATATCTGCTTGACAATTACTCAAATATTGCTGGTATCAAATACAAACTTACTGGAATCATACGACAAGTTGGAACAGACAAAAGAGGAGAAGAAAACCAGTGAAGCTAGTTCAGTATGTAACAATTGCCAGATACCAGCAGTTTCAGTTTACTTTCTGTGCCGTGGGTCCCTTCACTGGGATAAAGGTGGTATATAAATGACACAAAATACATAGGTAACGGCAAGTCCAGATGGGGGAATTTGGAAGGACTGATTCCCAGTCCATCATCATCTTAGAACTTAGTGCAGTCTATTTTGAGCAATCCTTCCATTCACATGGGAGATTGTTATTCTCCTTGTGAGAAGGGTCCGCACATGTCTTTGGATCGCTGATTTACTCATGAGCAAGGTTTATGAAAATGGCACACCTCTCGTTTTCTGACTTTATGGATCGCACAGGTGAACAATATGGTAGAGGCTTGATGGGGACTCCCTTGACCCTGAAAGGAAAATGCAGGTGCTCGCTCCGTTGGTTAGGAAGGTGGAATGTTTGGGCCTCTAGCTGTTGCCAGATTGCAGCACTATTGACTGTGCTGCTGAGACTTGTACTACGGCTGGGGGCTGTTCAAAACATGGACTTTCTGAGTTGATGATGATGCTTTGGAGGAGTATAGGTGTGAGCTGGAAGGGAGCGGAGGCAGCCAAAGGCCTGGGGAGACAAACAGTTTGGTACATTCTTGTGTCCTGTCACCTGAGACGATCACCTTGTGCAGCCTACGGGTAGTGCCAGCCTCATCAGTAAGGATCAATAATGTCCAGGAGGTTCATGTTTGCATTTGTGGTTCAAGGGGGCAGAGACAAAAGGGATACAATTGGGATTATTCATTAACCTACAAACAATCTAGTCCAATGTATTTTTAATCTTCTAGCAGGTGTACTTTGGAATTCCTGCTTGTCAGCCAAGCATATCCCGCTCTAAATATCCCGTTTTAAGGACTTTCTCCCTAGCCTACCCACCTGTTTTCTGTTTTTTTTTTTTCTTTTTCTTTTCCAGCTTATGCTCACTGTTTTGTGATTTCAAAACATGCTTTTTTCATGACTAGATGGGATTTGTTTGGAGGGTGCTGAGGCTCCTTTTAGGATTTTGTTTTTGTTTTGGGGGAACGCCGTTGGTATTTTCTGTCATCTTCAGGGTCTTCTCCTCCTAGCCTGCTGATATTCTCTGACTTGTTCCTCAAACCCTCCATTTTGCCTACATATCTTTTGGCACTCGTCCATCTGCCTTTGCTTGTAGAGAGAGTGATAAGCGTGGGGTAAGGATGGAGAGAGAGACACAGTATTGACATGGGAGTTTAAGAGCAGTGCACCAGTAAGTATTCCTCATTGGCAGCTCCACCAACACCCTGTCCTGACAGTTCTGTCAATATCTGGAGATCATTGTGACAACAAAGGGCAGTGTATGAAACAGATTAATTATCAGCTGTGCAACTGTCCAAACATTTTATTTGACATAGTTCTCATTCCATGATTAACTTGCAAGGCAGATCCTGGAACATCTTATATTGGCAGTATGCAGGTAGAGGTAAAACACTGTTAGAGAGCAAGCCATACATCTTTTTTTTTTCAGTTAGATGGAGGGGTCCTGTTGTGCCAACTGTTCTGGATAGATGACAGGGCAGTACAGTGGTGACTCGCTTAACGATGTTAGTTCATTCCAGCGAGATTGCTGTAGAGCGAAAATGTTGTAAAGCGAAAATAAAAAACCCAATGAAATGCATTAAAACCCAGTTAATGCATTCCAGTGGGCTAAAAACTCACAGTCCAGCGAAGATTCTCCATATGGCAGCCATTTTCAGTGCCTGTATAGCGAGGAATCCGTCCCTAAGCACAGCTGGGAGCCATTTTGAGCACCCGGTGGCCATTTTGAAAACATTTTGATCAGCTGTTTTGATCGTTGTAATGTGAAGAATCGGTTCTAGAAGCAGGGAACCGGTCTTCACAAAGCAAAAAAAAAAAACCATCTAAAACATTGTAAACATCATCGTGAAGCAGATTCTTCATAATGCAGGGCAATCGTTAAGCGGGGCACAACTGTACTGGCTGATGAAGCAATCTCAGTTATGGTTCTTGGCAGTAGCTATGCAGAGATCATTGGCTGAGATCCTGTTGAGTAACCCATGCCCATGGAAAGATGATGACATCATCAGCAAGTGGTTATTTTCAGGAATAAAAAAACTTCCTAATTCAGATCTATGGCTTTTCTAAGTCCCATGTAAGCGCTTTCTTCATGTTGAACCTGTGAGAGCCCCAGGACAGGAGACAGAGGTAATTCATTATTGATTACAAGATTACATTATCAGTAGGGACTTTCTATGATTAAAGGTTTTCGTTTCGTCTCCCATATGATGAAATGGATTGCACGAGATCAGAAAAGCCATGAGTCCAAAATAGGAAGTTTTTGATTACTAAGAATTCCCCCTGCTGATGACATCATCAGTGTTTCGCGGGGGTAGCTACACCAACAAGATTTCAGCCACTCTTTCTCTGCTGATAATAACTTGGATAAAATAAACAATCCAGACAGAACAAAAACAGCACAGCCTCCCTTCCAAATCATACAGGCAAACAGTTTGCACTGAAGTTTGGAAAAGTTGCTTCTGTTGATTTTAACTTCCATGGCCGTAGTGCAAGTTGAAGTCGGTTCTAGGGTCCAGAAGCAGTTGGCTTTTAACTCATGCCATTCTAACATACAACGTTGCCTTCCACACTGTTTTCCATTGGTAGAATAAAGATCTGTGAAAGAATATGAAAAGTTGTAGTCTTCAAGCCTGCTGGGTTGTTACAAAAATCTTCAATTCTCCTCCTTTCATACAAGATGAAAGGAAGAAATTCAGACCAAGGGAAGGCACCTCTGAGAAAGATTGCTTGGTTCACAAAAAATAGCTCCATCATCCCCAACATACATGCTGGCCACAGTATCCTCCACCTTGTGTTTCTGGTGGTTGTGTGATGCAGTGCTACAAGTGGAGCAAGGAATGTAAGTAGGGCTTCTCTGGCAAAGCCAAATTCACTTTGACGCCGATTTAAAAGCTTAACTTCCATGGCCGTAGTGCAAGTTGAAGTCGGTTCTAGGGTCCAGAAGCAGTTGGCTTTTAACTCATGCCATTCTAACATACAACGTTGCCTTCCACACTGTTTTCCATTGGTAGAATAAAGATCTGTGAAAGAATATGAAAAGTTGTAGTCTTCAAGCCTGCTGGGTTGTTACAAAAATCTTCAATTCTCCTCCTTTCATACAAGATGAAAGGAAGAAATTCAGACCAAGGGAAGGCACCTCTGAGAAAGATTGCTTGGTTCACAAAAAATAGCTCCATCATCCCCAACATACATGCTGGCCACAGTATCCTCCACCTTGTGTTTCTGGTGGTTGTGTGATGCAGTGCTACAAGTGGAGCAAGGAATGTAAGTAGGGCTTCTCTGGCAAAGCCAAATTCACTTTGACGCTGATTTAAAAGCTCAATTTATGGTCACACATCTTCCCAAAATCGTTAGCAGACTGTCAAAGATTAGTAGCTGCTTCTGTAACATGTTTGCATACTTCTAGAACAAATAACTTGGACCAGCTTTTAATGTGGCATAAATGTTGAAAATCAAACTAAAAGTTCCATATTTTTCTGGCATCACATCCAGCCAGCTGTAGTGTCTCGCAGAGGCACTCTTCTGCTTCTGGTTTTTCTAGACTTCAGGTATACTGGTCCAGAATCTGCAATAGCCAATATTGGGTAAATTATATGTTATGAGGCTGATGACATTATCAGTCTTATGTGACTCAGCTGCACGAACAGGATTTCATTGTTTGTTCGAGAATCTTGCTTTTAAAAACAAATCCAAATGAAGCCTCCTTTAAGGATCCAAATTCCAGAATATCTATTATTCTCTTTCTCTCTCCCCCTCCTCCTTTTTAAATAAAAAAATAGACTGCACTTGGCAGAGTTTATACATGTACTGCTGAAAATAATCATTTCTAGATTGCAAAATATCTTGGAGCCGGGGCATCTTAAACATTTGTCCTAGTTTCTGGGAAAATACTGCAAGAAGAGAAGGACATAAAATACTGATGTCATTACTAGATAGTTGTTGCCACTCGAGTTTCCATACTGTAGGTTTCTATAGATGTCATGAGCTACAACTCCCATCAGTCCTTCATGAGGTTCCCCCTCTCCTCTAGTTTACACCATTCAGTAAGCCCCCTGCAAACATTTGTGCTTCAGGGAGCTACTGGGGTTTCCATAGAGGGGAAAGTCCCTTTCAACCAACCCAGTTATCCTTGCCTTAGTCTGCATCCAAAGCTAAAAGTGTACGTAGTTCTGTACGTGCTACAAGGAAATTGAGCCAAAATACATGGTGCCTGAACTAATTTCAGATTCTTCTCTTTAACCCCCGGCTTCTACTACTTCTATTAACACATTTCCTTGACCACTCTGTTGTTTTTCTCCATGAAGGATTTTGGGTTGTAAGCTTCTTGTGGCAGGGCCTATCATCATGTATTCGATAATATTATGCACACTTTATCCACTCTGCAAAGAAAGATATTAAAATAATTAAACCTCTTCAGGTATAATGCAAAAGGGCTAAGGATCGTCTCCTGTTGTTTTGATTATCCTGCATGTATGTATTCTTTCTGTTATTTCTTCCCCAATTCTAGACATGGTTGCATTTTTTGTTTAAGTCAGTAATAGTATCCTGTCTCTTCACATCTCTCCCATCAGGTACTAGATACCTCAGATGTTCCTGGTGGAGTCGTGAACATCATCTCTGGCAGCCGAGATTATCTGAGCCGGGCTTTAGCAGAGCACCAAGCTGTACAAGCTGTGTGGTATTTTGGCTCTAAAGAGGTGAGGTTGCCTTGCTGGTCTAGCAAAGAATTGCAGTGGGCAAAGGAACAGTAGTTAGGAAGATACTAGTTTTTCAAGAATCTTTGTTATCATTTAGAAATGTTTCATCATTTCTAAATTGAAGCCAGTGATTCTTCAAATCCAGATTTAATTTTTTTTTGTACCTGACCTTCCCCCAATTTGTGGTGGTAGTTTTGTGTTGTTTGGTTTGGTTTGGTTTGCAGATTTCCCTTCTGTAATTCCAGGAACCAAAATTTCTGCACAATAGATCTCAACTGTTCACATTTATTTTATCTGGGAAATGTAAATAGGGCTTTCTGGATCCCTAGCTCTTGGAACTACTCCATGTCTAGATCCATAAATATAAAAATCAGTCAGGAATGCTTCAAATCTAGAAGTCTGGAGTGCTTGTTTTGCTTTTCTGTAGCTATATTTACATTAGAAGGATTATCGCTACAGCTGGAAAACTTTGAAAATCCCAGTCCTCTAGAGAAAAAGTTAACTAGTTGACAACCCTTATGCAAAAATATCTCAACATATTAGGGTTGCTCGTCCCATCCTCTCCCACCCCTAGAAATATTATTTTATTTAAAAGACATTGACTTCTTTAATTAATTGGTTAAACGTTGTCAAGTCAATACTGAGTTCTGAGAATCCTTCCCAGGGTTTTCTAGGTAGAGTACTCAAAAGTGGTTCACCATTCCGTTCTTCTGGGGGCATCCTGAGATTGTGCACCTTGCCTAAAGCCACACAGGCTGGCTCTAACTTACAGGAAGCACAGTGGGGAATCAAACTCCCAATCTTTGGCTCCACAACCAGTTTGGGAACATTTTTCTTTTTGAAATTACAACTTTGAGGATCATTGCTGGTTTTAAATTCTAGAATGGTAGAATTCTTCCATGAGAAAGACAATTAAGTTCTCAGAAAGGCCCCTAATAGTCCGTTATTGATAGGCTCACCATCAGCACCGGAGCACATGCCTTAGGATCTGCTTCTGTGGGAAAAGCTTTACAGCAGGTAAATCTGAAGGTAAAAAGCCTTTCAAAACCTCTGCACTTGATCAGTAAAGGTGCCCATTAAATCTAAAGAGTATCAATTTCTGCTCTTGAAAAGTCATTGTTGGTACTATTGTTAATTATTATTTCTCCCCCTGTAGGGTTCTGCACTTGTAGAATGGGCCTCTGCTGGGAACCTGAAGAGAACGTGGGTGAACTATGGATCAGAGCAGCGTCGCTGGGCCGATCCACAGCAGGGGGCTGGGGAGGAATTTCTCTACCAGGCCACCCAATGCAAAAGTGTCTGGATGCCCATGGGTGACATATTTGCCAACTGAGGCCTTAGGCTGAACTGCAACGTTTGAATTTTAAAAAAGACCATTTGGTGGATATTTTTCTAATAAAAATGAAACAAATCACTGCCATGCAATTGTTTTCTCACTGAGGATTTCCTTCTGACTGTGGAGAGCATCAGTGGATGCTATCTGTTATCTGTTTTCCAAAGCTCAATTCCTTTCCAGAAAAGATAGCTGACCCTGTGGCATGCAGCAATTCACGGGGGAGAAAATGTCTGATATACACAATAGAGAAAAGAACAAGTTTATTTCTAAAATCCAGAACTTGGAGATGTTACCCTTTTTTTTACCTAAAACTCCAGTGTCCTGAAGCCAGCAGTGGCTTTGGCCCAACTGGCTAGAGGATCCTCAAAGTTGCAATTTCAAAAGGAAAAATGTTCCCAAGCTGTGAGCCTGATGGGTTGCCCATGGGGATGATTAAGAGGTCAGATCATGTATATAATAATTGTGTGCCACCAATTCAATTTTGATTTATGGCAGTCCTTTTCAGTGTTTTCTAGGTACACAGTACTCAGACGTGGTTTACCATTTCCTTCTGCTGGGGGCACTCTGGAACTTTGCAGATTATCCAAGGCTACACAGAATGGTTCTTTTCCTGGGATACAGAGTGAAATATTCAACTCCCGACCTCTGGTTCTGCAGCCAGATACCTAATTTACTCAGCTATCCAGCCAGCCCACTGCATGTTTATGCCTTATTTGATAGCCTTTGTGTGCTGCAATGCCAATATTAGCAGAGATGTTCACTTTCCAGTCAACCCGCTGCCACTTTGAACTCAGTAGATTTCAACTCGCCAGCAGAAGGAAGAGATGGTAGCTCAGTGTCAAAACATACACACAAGGCAGTGAGGCAGTTCCATTTGGCATCCCTACATGGAAAAAGAACATTTCAAGGTGGTGGGAAGTGCTTAGGCTTAAGATTCTGGAGAGCCACTATCAAAGTAGATGGTGCTTGACCTAGATTGACCAATAGTCTGACCTAGTTATAAAGCAGTTTCTATGTTCTTCAATGGCAGGGAAAGGTGGCGGCTGAACGATAAAGCAGGTGGTTTGTATGCGGAAGATTGTTGTTGAATTCTTGAGATCGACAGGCAGAGGCAGGAAAGGCTTTCATGTGAAATCGTCGAGAAACACTGCTAGTTCAGTGTAGACAAAAGATCTAGATGTACCAATGATCTTCCTTGGTTTATGGCCATATTCTATTCCTAAATTACAACTGTTTATCTGCTAAAGGATCCTTGTGCAGAGCCTTTCCTGTGAACAAACAAACAACCTTGTTCAGTTGTGTTTTTATATACACAGACAATGAACATTGTTTTGGCTTTGCATCTTTAAGGTTTGCACGCCCATTCTACTCATTTATATATCAAGATGATAAATTTTGGAACACACTCGGAAAGCCCCTGCATGTAACATTTTGCTCAAGGTTTTCCACTCCTTCTTCCCTCGTGTGGCCACTGGGGAGGCTGATGTGATAAAGGCGTTAAAGACTGTGGTCTTGGCAAGGGCTTTGCTACAAGATGGAAAGGTCAGAATGTAGGTGGGCTCGAGCCATGTAGGAAAAACAATTCTGAGATCGAGTCTGGAGTTCTTTCTGACTCAAATAGCAAATTGTCATATTTGCAGCAGTAACCACATGGGGGACCTCAAAAATTATATTCAGAGTACCTTGTGCTGAGGTTTCACACATGTGAACGTGGCAGGGGGCAATAGTTGGAGCAAGTGGGAGGAACTAAAGGTCAGACTGCACCTACACCTGATCCATTACTGTGCAGGATGGAAACTTGAGTTAAATAAATATCCTGGGCTAGAGTGCTGGATTTAAATCTCACTCAACCATAAAGTTCATGGGAGCTTCCCCCGCCTCTCTCAGCCTAACCCACCTCACTGCATGTTTAAAGTTCATTGGCCTGTAAGCTAATTTTCAAAGATAGCTCAGATATCTTCCTATTGTACTTTAGAAGCAAATAATTCTCTGATCAATTACTTCACAGCTGTCAAATTTTTCCAGGGATGGATTTTGTTCATATACAAGGCCTGGCTAATACACGGCAAGGGCGAGTGAGAAGAGTATGTGAGTGTTAACCTTTTCCAGGGATGGATTTTGTTCATATACAAGCCCTGGCTAATACATGGCAAGGGCAAGTGAGGAGAATATGTGAGTTTGTTCATGTAGTTTTAAAAAGAATGTAGCTTCACTTTAAATCTTTGACGCATAGCAAAGCACAAAACATAGAGCTTTGAACTATAATTACCAAAAGCTATCAGATGCTGGTGGATCATTTAGTACAATGCTCCCACCTTTTCTGATATGGGTTGGGATTTATGCTCGGGAAGTCTTCCTTGCTGTGTTTTGGATCTGAAAGCTGCCTTTGGAGCCACGCATTTTAATACAGTAGTACCTCGGTCTATGAATGCCTCGGTTAATGTAATTTTCATTTTACAAATGGAAATCATTGAAAATAATGCCTTGGTTTACATTTTTTCCCCCGTAGTATGAAGGAAGTTTCCCCAGGATGCATTGTGCCTGGAAGTTTATAGCGCCGCCCCCATTCCTAGGGCAATTTGCATTTTGTTTCACGAATTTTTCATATTACGTAACGTCCCGTAGAATGCATTAATTAGTTTATAGCACCGCCACCGTTCCTCTGGCAATCCGCATTTCGGGTTACGAATTTTTTATATTACGTAACATCCCGTAGAATGCATTAATTTTGTAAACCAAGGTACTACTTGTAGTAACAGCAACCTGTTGCGCCACTTGTCTTCCATCTCCAGCAGGGGAGTCAGTAGCAAATGTCTGTTCAAGGATGCAGAGACATCTTTATTTAAACGAAACTTCAGGATGGAGCAGTATAGTAGTCTCCTGGGTGCATGTCACAGTAGTGGTGGTGTTGGGGAGCCCTGCAGCAATGGGGGTGGAGTGGGTTTGTACCTATTTGCCTCAGACTTCAAGCAGCAAAAAACCTTTGTAAACCACGTTCTTTTGGTCAGTCTTTTAAGAAAAACACTGCCCCACCGTAGATCTTGTTCTGTTTTCCTGTGTTTCTCTTTGTTTTTAATTTTCTGCGAGTTTGCTTTTCTGTCTTTTTTCTTTCTTTCTGGAAAATTTGAGTTATCTTTTTAATCCAAGAACTGCATACATGTCTAACTGGAAACTTTTCCACTGAGGAATAGTTTCCTTTGGGAATAATCTGGCACTGTGTCCAGGCTAGTGATGGAAGGGGCCAAAGATAAACTGGGTGTGGCCATCCTTTTCTCTCAGTCCATTCTTTTTTTCATCCTGTTTCTCTCAAACCCTTTGTCTTTCTCGCTGCCAACCGTCCATCCATTTTCTCTCTCCTTCTCAGTCCATTTTACTATCTGATCGTTCCTGCCACATGTCTGAGTTGAATGCTTGCAGACATCTTTTAAATTTAGCCCAGGGTTTGCTTGTCTTTAGAGTACACAGATATTGACCAAGAGATACAGCTCTCTGCCTGCCAGTAATATCTGTTAGGCCAGCACAGAGGTAAGGACGTTATGTTTGAAAATTAATTCATCCATGCTAAATATTAAAAAGTAAGAAATTAATTTCTTTTCCGTGGAACAGTAGAAGATGAAATGTTTAATTCATTGAGACATTGAGTATTAAGTAGTTCGTCAACTGAATATTTGGTTGTAACGTTTACAGACAATTCCATGTAGGTTGGAATCACCAGCCAAAATCCTGCTGCTTAGGGTAGTAAATCCCATTAAAATAGGACCACTGGATCAGCGGGAGGTTGGTGAGCCAATTCCTCTGTAAGTTCCATTGATTCAAATGGGCTTGCTCTAAGTGCAACTTAGTCTAGTACAATTTATTACACACTAAGGACCAGGATTTTGGTCACTGAGTGCTCTTTTTGTTGTTTTAAAGCTGCCTTCCTCAAACTACAGTACATGGATTCTAAATCCCTTAATACACTTGTTGGCCGGGGATGGTAGAACCCAATATGTTTGGAAACAATACGGTAGAGGAAGAAAGGGTTATGAAAAAGGACCTTTCTGTAGATGTCACTTGCAGTAAAAGTACAGGTGGTGTTCCTTCTATTAGTATTTATTATATTCACAAGGTCAGTAACAGGGGTTTTCCAGCTTTCTGATATTGCAGGGGATTTTCCAATCTTTTTCATCAAAATGTAAACTAACTTCAGATTTCACCCACTCTTTTCGACTCCCATCTCCCAGCTTAATTATTATTAAATGTTAAAAGAGGCAGTCAGGAAAACAAGATTCCTGCTATTGAAGATCCATTTATTTGCATGGGAGAGTAGGAAGAGGACCTTCTTAGGTTTCCTAGAGTGTCCTTTATTGGCTCTGACCTCTGCTGACTTCCCTTCAACCTCAGATGGCCATTTTCAAGGTTACCAATGCCCCTTCCTCTCTTCCGACACTTGTCTCTTGTAGGTTCCAGGACAAGACATCTTCCCTTTGTTCTCTAGAGATAAAATGGGCCGCCATGGCTTTGTACATCTTCAAATTATGTAGTCAGAAGCAGGATTTCTATCATCTTTCCTAAATCTCCAACCTGTTTTTCTATCAAACACAAACTATCTTACAAGAAAGGAGTATGAGCATGATTCCTTTATAAAGGAGAAAGTATGTTTAGTTATTCATTTGGGATTTCAAAAGCTGAATCCACAGGTTCATGTTGCTGCTTTCCCGCTGTTTTCGGGGTATTCTCCAACAACTACAAATTAATTATGTCCCGTCAACTCTATTCCAACATATGGTGAATCTTGCCAGGGTTTCCTATCTATAAAGTGCTTTAAAGTAGTTTAATATCCCCTCTTTGGTGATACTCTAGGACTGTGTAGCTTGCCCAAGGCAACACAGGCTGGCTCTTCTCTTGGGAGGCACCCACAGCAGAAAACTGAACTTCCAACCTAATTATTTCAAAACATTTCAAAACGTTCATATATTTCATGTGACAAAGAGCAAAGGTCCAGCCATTGGGAAGCTTGCTTGTGGGCCAATTTGTACCACAGTTCCTTTCAGGAAGGGCAACTTTTCCCCTCACGGAGACACAGGACAATGAATGCTAGCAAC